TCTTAAACACCAAAAAGACCAAGGAGATCATTGTAGATTTCCGGAGGATGGGTCATAACAACCATCTGCCTCTCTTCATTGGCAGTGAGGCGGTGGAGAGGGTGAGCAGTTTTAAATTCTTGGGGGTAACTGTGACCGAGGACCTGTCCTGGGGCAACCATATCACCTCAGTTGCACGGAAGGCCCAACAGCGCCTCTACTACCTGAGGAGACTGCGGAGCGCACACATTCCCAGATCTCTGATGTTGAACTTCTACAACTGTGCCATCAACAGCGTTCTGACGTATGGATTTCTAGTGTGGTTCCCCAGCTGCACCAAGGCCGATCAGCAAGCACTCCAGCGGGTGGTGAAAGAAGCTGGCAGAATTATTGGAATAAGTCTGCCAGAGATTAGTAATATCTTCCCCTCTCGCTCAGTATCCACAGTATCCTGCGGGACCAACATCACCCTGCGCGCCACCTTTTCCACCTGCTGCCCTCAGGGAGAAGGTACAGGTCTATACAGGCCAGAACATCCAGACTGGCCAACAGCCTGTATCCACAGGCTGTGAGGCTCCTGAACTCTCTGCCCCCCTCTCACGGACAATAACCATATCCAACTTCTTAATAGCACTGAACTGGTCTGCATTGGTGCATCATATCTTTATTCTCTTTCCCCCCCTGTCCCCCCCTCTTTCTTAAATAGATAACTATCATATCTGACATCATATCTCACAGTACAAAAATATTGAATGGGTTGCATTGTTGTACTTTGTCATGTTTCTCAGGTCTTTGTCTGAATTTCTTATGAACATTACTTGTCATGTTCTCATGTTGTTGCTAAGGATTGTCTTATTGCACTGGAGTCACACTAGGTTAAATATTTACACTTGGGTTTTAAGGGGTATTTATTATTTTCTTCATTATTTTATTTACGGGTTGTACGGAAGCCCCAAACGCAATTTCATTGTTCTCTGACAATGACAATAAATACTTAAATAAAAATAAATACTAAGTAACTTTAACCTTTTATTTCATTTTTTTCAGTGTACAATAAATAAATTAACTACATACAGTGGTCACTCGCTATAACGCGGTTCACCTCTCAAGGCCTCGCTGTTTCGTGGATTATTTTTTGTGCAATTTTGCATGCTTTTTTTTTTTTTACAGCTCATTGTGTTCTGCATCCTGATTGGCTGTAGACCACTGTCAATCAATCCCGTGCCGTGTCTCCTGTACAGCACAGATTGCGTTCAGCTTGTCAAATTTACATAAATCTTTGATCGCTAGCAGCGTGACTCTGAAGTGCTGCACTGCATGTTTGTACGTTTTCTCCCCAACAAACACAACAATGTCAATGAAATGTTTTGCACCGTCAAAGGCAACCGCGGGTGACTTTGGTTTTATTCTATAATACTGGACTTATTTTTCTACAAGGGTTTGAACGTTAAGAGTGTTTAAACAAGAGAGAAAAGTGTGAACATGTTCATGCCTGTCTGAAAAAAGTGTATAAAGTGTGTAGTGAGGGGTTTTACAGCCTTAAAACATCTATAATAATTGTAAAAAATAAAGCTACTTCGGGGATTTCACTTATTGCAGGTTATTTTTAGAACGTAACTACTGTGATAAACGAGGGACCACTGTATACAGGGAGTGCAGAATTATTAGGCAAATGAGTATTTTGTCCACATCATCCTCTTCATGCATGTTGTCTTACTCCAAGCTGTATAGGCTCGAAAGCCTACTACCAATTAAGCATATTAGGTGATGTGCATCTCTGTAATGAGAAGGGGTGTGGTCTAATGACATCAACACCCTATATCAGGTGTGCATAATTATTAGGCAACGTCCTTTCCTTTGGCAAAATGGGTCAAAAGAAGGACTTGACAGGTTCAGAGAAGTCAAAAATAGTGAGATATCTTGCAGAGGGATGCAGCAGTCTCAAAATTGCAAAGCTTCTGAAGCGTGATCATCGAACAATCAAGCGTTTCATTCAAACATCAACAGGGTCGCAAGAAGCATGTGGAAAAACCCAAGGCGCAAAATAACTGCCCATGAACTGAGAAAAGTCAAGCGTGCAGCTGCCAAGATGCCACTTGCCACCAGTTTGGCCATATTTCAGAGCTGCAACATCACTGGAGTGCCCAAAAGCACAAGGTGTGCAATACTCAGAGACATGGCCAAGGTAAGAAAGGCTGAAAGACGACCACCACTGAACAAGACACACAAGCTGAAACGTCAAGCTCCATCACACGCGTCCAAGTACTCCACCGCGTGGCTGGCAAGAAAGGGTATAAAAGAAGAAAAACTAATGACATGGCCACCTTGCTCACCTGATCTGAACCCCATTGAGACCCTGTGGTCCATCATCAAATGTGAGATTTACAAGGAGGGAAAACAGTACACCTCTCTGAACAGTGTCTGGGAGGCTGTGGTTGCTGCTGCACGCAATGTTGATGGGGAACAGATCAAAACACTGACAGAATCCATGGATGGCAGGCTTTTGAGTGTCCTTGCAAAGAAAGGTGGCTATATTGGTCACTGATTTGTTTTTGTTTTGTTTTTCAATGTCAGAAATGTATATTTGTGAATGTGGAGATGTTATATTGGTTTCACTGGTAAAAATAAATAATTGAAATGGGTATATATTTGTTTTTTGTTAAGTTGCCTAATAATTATGCACAGTAATAGTCACCTGCACACACAGATATCCCCCTAAAATAAAACAAACTAAAAACTACTTCCAAAAACATTCAGCTTTGATATTAATGAGTTTTTTGGGTTCATTGAGAACATGGTTGTTGTTCAATAATAAAATTATTCCTCAAAAATACAACTTGCCTAATAATTCTGCACTCCCTGTATACGCTGTGTGATAATTGTGTGATTTTAACTAGAACCTACAAAATTGTACAGTACTCATGTTACTTTACCAAAGTTTTGGTGGCTAATTGTGCTGCTTAATACTTTTTATTGTTTAAATTCGACAATCAGATTTTAAATGGATTTGAAATGTTGTGAATAACACAAATGAACTTCAATCAATGGTGTCCTCACTAGTCTTTAATCATTCTATCTCAGGTCTTTTAACTCTTAACTATCATAAAGTTATGACAGCTGGACTGAGGAGACATTTATGATCGTGGCTCAAGAGTTGGCAGTTTGTCTTGTAATCGTAAGGTTGCCGGTTCGAGCCCCGGCTCCGACAGGCTCGGTCGTTGTGTCCTTGGGCAAGACACTTCACCCACTGCCTACTGGTGGCGCCAGTGTCCGGCAGACTCGCCTCTGTCAGTGTGCGCCAGGGTGGCTGTGGCTACAATGTAGTTTGCCATCACCAGTGTGTGAATGGGTGGATGACTGGTTGTGTAAAGCGCTTTGGGGTCCTTAGGGACTAGTAAAGTGCTATACAAATACAGGCCATTTACAGACAGCGTTTTAAATATTATCTTTAATGGCTGTAGGTTGTAGCCATTAGCCATCTAAGACTGTATGTAGGATGGAAGTGACTACTTCAAAGGCACAGTGATAGCAAGTTCATTGAAAACGTTTGCAATAATTTTGGTTGTTAGGTCATTTCTAACCACTGTATTCACCAGTACAACAACCTATACTGAGTATTAATGACTGACAGGATTAATTCGAGACTTTCCTTACCTTCTGCAATGCCCTTTGCTCTTATCATGGTTGCCATGTCGATGTCGTCTTGCTCTCCGCCCTTCTCCTTCCACGATTTTCCCCCCCTCTCCTTCTTTCCCCCTGGATCGGTGTCGCCTGCCTTCCTCTCCTTCTCTTGCTGCCCTGCGGTGCTGCCTGGCCCTCCTGTTCTCATTATGTCCTTCTCCTGCCTCACTCTGGTGGGGGGAAACACTGCGAGCTTCACGGCCTTCCCTGTTCCGGTGCCGATGGCCTCGATGGCTCCGGTGGCTGTGCCTCTCCTCCCCTGGACGGCCCTCTATGCTCGCCTCCACATTACCCAGAGATGTGCAGCTGAAGCCGTGCTCCATACGGGTCTCTGATAGCTGGCTTGTCTCTCTGCTGTCTGGCCCAAAGGGTTTCTGATGGTGATTGCGGTCGTAGTGATAGCAGTGGGCGGCACGGCGGCAGTGATCTATGTCCTGGCGCCGGTACTCCTGGTCAAGTGGCAGTTCTCCAGGTTGGGTCTTGTTGGTGTTATTATTGCGGTTGTCCTGTGGGTTCACCACCAACGGCCTGTCCAAGTGGGTTTTCATGTCACCACGTCCTTTCCGTGGGTAAGACGCCTGAGTTAGGGTGACAGGGTAGCAGATGACATTACGAGGTTATATGCAAACATCAGCCAAATGTTAGCCCTGGAGTAGCTAGCCATGTATGATCATGTTTTTCTAAGCAGGTCTCAGTACACCACTTATAATACATTTCAATCAAATACATTTACTTGAATTTAATTGAATCCTAGAGACTGACTTAAAATCTTTCTTTATCATTTGCAAACATGAATCTCTTGTCTAGGTGATCATTTATGTTAAGATGTATATTTTTTAAATCTAAATTGTCATTTGGAATTTTTTTTCACGTAGCAAGTAGCAAATTTAAACATTAGTGGTTGTTTTCCATGGTATATTAATAAAAGACAGTAAATCATGTAATAATGAGTAAAAAAAACAATACTGCAAACGGAAAGAAAACAGCTGCTCTAGAATAAAACCACAGCAATGACACTGCCATCCATGCATGCTTGAAACCTTTTAAATTGCTGTTTTAAAGAAGCAAATGCTCATCAAGCCAAGCAAAATACATCAGCTTTTCATGTATTTTGGGTTGCAGTAGCAATTGCTTCTAAGCTGGCAAATCAGATATAGTCCGGAGTATTTTAACCTTCTTTGGTATCATATTTTATATATACATATGTTAACCCAGAAATAAACAAGTAGGATTTACAGCACTCGTGCCGGTCCCATTCCCTCCCCTGGGTCACAGATACACAGTTCAGCAAACAGCCCACCATTTTTGGCTCCATGTGAACAAGTTTTTAAACTTTTTTTTTAATTTGTAAAGCCACAAAATGCTAAAACAGAACCAGCTGTGAACATACAGTTTGCTGAGTCATATCCAGCCAACTCCTGATTTGCACTTTGCCCCATTCCAGTTTTGAGTCCACTGCTTTCTCTGCATGCCCCACTTTAATATTGCATTGCTCCCAAGCACGCAGCTTCAAGCCGTCCCATATAGCATTGCAAAAATAACATTCCTTCACAGGCTTAAAGGGATATTACACTCTGGCATCAAAACATGTAGATTACGTTATGACCCAGAATACACAGCAGTTATCAGTTTTATATATGAAATCTAATTATGGAAAAGAAGACAAACACTGAGCCATGACTCCCAAAAAGTTGATCCTGTTCATCTTGACATTTTCAGCTGGACGAAAATGCAACGTCAAGATGAACAGAATCAACTTTTTGGGATTTCCTTACCTGGATGATTGAGCATGCATCAAGACACCAAGCAATGACTGTCACATTGACTGGACATTGGATATTACTGTGAGATAAACTTTACCGATCTTAAATAGACTTTACATTCACTACCCATCTATGGTCTAAGTCATCATCAGTGGAAACCATAACTCTAACTCTATGCAATCAGAATATGTAATTCTTTTTAAGCTGTTTTCCAAAATCTTGGTAATCAGGGGACAAAAAAGGCACACATGCATAAGGTTTGGAGCAGCTGTTGGGGTTATAACCAATGATGACTTGGACCTAAGAGGGTTAAGATAAACTCAATCTCAGAATTATAGATTAGCTTTAAAATTACTTGCAATTGAGCAGGATCTCCAACTCTTGGAGAACAATGGACACAAACGTTCTGATACAATGTTTTTGACCTTACAATAGATGATTTTCAATGTCATGTTACATATTAATACATGTGTCACAAGTGTCCTCCAAGAGTCATCCATTCAAAAAGAAGTGGTGTTAATATCCCTTTAAGGTGTTTACAGATTGCTTTACACACATTACAACAAATATTTACCATATATATCAGGAGTAGACTGTATACATATGTGTATATGTGTTTTTTTCTTAGGGGGGGAAACACCTCACCTCTTCTCCCTCCACTCCCGCCTTCCAGTCTTCCTGCTCCAGCTCATTGTAGAGCGCCTCGCGGCTCGTCATTAGGTTCTGTCGGCGAATCTCACTTGTTCTCTGCTCCCACACCGACTTATTTCCCTTGGTGTGGTTCTTTTGCTGCTCCTTACTGTTGGGGGAAATTAGGGGATGTTAGGCAGGAGAAAAGGAGTTTTAGTTACGGCGAAGATGGAGGGGAAACACAAGAGGGTGTAGTAAAATAAAAGAAAGGCAGACGTGAGTGATTTCAGGTAAGGCAGGAGGACGAGGTGGAGATAAAGTGAAGATGTTGAAGAATGAATAAGCAAGGAAATTGGTGTCATTGTATTGTTGTCAGAGGTGTTATGGGGAAAGAGATGGTAATGAGTAAGTGAGAAAGAAAAAGGAAAAGAAGGATTAGACACTTGAGGACAAACCCACTGAAATTTAGCCACACATCAGTAGCAGTAATGTAAAAACGGTTCATCCTTAAAGGGAAAATCCAATTATATGTATGACTTTAGGTATGTTCTTATTTATCCATGTAGACTGTTTAGGTAAGAGCTTTGCAGTTTGGCTGATACTGGTTTGAATAAAAGAAATGCATCTTACTTGCCTTATTATTACTGAAAACAACAAATAAAATTAGATTGGAGTTTTTTCAGAAATTAATCAGACCATGTTGTGAGCAGTTTTATGAAGGAATTATCTTCACCTGTGACTGAGGACCATCTCTCCAACACAAATTTACCAGCACCAAATCTTCTCAGCACAGGCTCAGTTAGCCACAGCGACTAAAAAGTCTAGTGGCTTCCAAAGGAGCAGTGAGTTTATTTGAGCAACATTCTCATGTATACCATTGTCAGTGTTTCTGCTGCCAGGAGAAGATTCTACAGGCTGTCCGCCTCTCGCTCTTCTTCCCTTCACAAAGCCCTGAATCTGTTCCTTTCACTCTCAGAACAATCGCTTTATCGTGTTTTAGAGAACAGTGAGAGTGTGATGGTGACTGTGTGTGTGTGTGTTGTGTGCAAATGAATGCCTGCCAATCATAAATGTTACGAAAGACAGTCCTGGAAGAAAAAAAAACAAACATTGCACGTGGGATTGTGCCTCTTTGTCACTGCAGCCACATGATGGATTTTATGTGCAGTGTTTTGAATGTACTCACATCTTTGAGGGTTATCTGTGTAAATGTGTCAACTCACGCAGCAATAGACAGGTTGGCAGCTGACAGAGGGCTGACCTCTGCCACCTCCTTTGCCTTCTGTAGTGCTGTCTTCTGATTGGCTGCCTCTTCCTGTTCTTCTTCATCCTGTTAAAGAAGAACAGTAATCTGGTCTAAATTTTCGGTGAGCACAGAGTCCACTAGAGGATGCCAGACCCTGTTTTTGATTGTTTGGTCAGAGACATTCACACCAGTAACCTGCTAGAGGTCATGCTGGCCCTCCTTGCACAAATGAGCAGATACCGGTCCTGCTCATGTGTTAAGGACCTTCTACAGCCCTGTCCAGCTCTCCTGGAATCTCCTTCATGCTTTTGAGACTATGCCGGGAGAAATGTTCTGGCAGCGGCACAAATTGATGTGCCATCCTGGAAGACTATCTGTGCAACCTCTGCAGGATCCAGGTATCGCCTCATGCTACCAGTAGTAACACTGACTGTAGCCAAATGCAAAACTAGTGAAAAAGAAAAAAAAAAAAAGTCAAAAGACGAGGAGGAAAAAATCTCAGTGTCTGTGAAACCGTTCCTGTTTTGGGGGTTGTCTCACTGCTACCCCTCTAGTGCACCTGTTGTTTTTATTAACACCAAAGCAGCTGAAACTGGTGAAAAATCCCCTCTGCTACTTAACTGACCAAATCAGTTTAACAGAGTATAACTTGATGTTATACTCTGATTAAAAAGTGTTTGTTTAATTTTTATCAGCCGTGTATATTTCTATAAACTGGCCCAAAGCATTCTCACAGTGAAAGCTGTCAGGAAGATCATTATGCTTGCAAGTGCTTTAGCTAACGACAACAGCTGGGTAACACATAGCATAACACGTAGACCTGTACCTTTGTAAGCTCCTGGGCATTGGCCAGATTGTCAACAGCGATGGCCAAGAAGACGTTAAGCAGAGTGTCTGTGGTGGCAGAAGTTAGGGAGAAATGCTGACAGGAAGCTGAGTGTTTTTCATGAAAAGCAAGTGGAGACAAAAAAGATACGACGTGTTGTAGATAAGCAAATGACAGAAGAAACAAAACAAGTTGAATTTTATGTATATGACAAAATATATGCATCTGTATAACTTTTCTTAGTACATATAGATACAGCACATTTGAGTACATGCACAGGTAAGCGTGAAGGCAGGATACAGTTGCCAAAGAGTGTCAGGACAATAAAGAAGATGGAGAAGATCATCCCCTTGTCTTTCACTCCACCCTGGGACTCAATGCCATAGTACATCACCTCATTCCAGTCTTCTCCTGTCAGGATCTGTCGAGAGAGTTTTAGAGTTTTAGAGTTTTTGGTCTGATATAAAAGGAGTGAGTTTGCTGTGAAAGCCTTTAGTCGCTTCACTGCTTGACCACTTATCTGTTAACAATAAGTAATCAAGCAGTAATAATAACCTAACCAATAACATTTGGATCCGAGCTTGTGGTGTAATGTATATGCGCACTGAAAGTGTTGCATTTTTGTGGAATATTCATCCTCAGAAATCACATAATAAAGAGAACACAGCAGCTGGGAGAACTTCATGGTTTGCACATATTTCGCTCGATATTTCCAGAGAAATAATTTCGGAGATCTGATTGACCCAGAGCAGCATCTAGTTGTTTATCTGAGCTAAAAACTGTATTATTTTACTATATTCAGTACTGCGAATTTTGAGCTACAAGTGCACGTATTGCGAAATGCAATAATCTGATTGGTCAGATCTGTTTATTCAGATCTGAAAAACTGGAAAACTGGAGCTTGGTTAGAAAAAAGAAATGTCGCAAATTCTTTCAGCAAAATTACACAGTTGGTGTGAACGGCTGCCTTTAGAGCACTGGAGTTCAACGAAATACACGACACACAAAATATTCACAGAGATTTTACGTATTCTGGCGGTTTTTTTGCGTCAACTCACTTGAACACCATTTCTAGTTAAAAGGTTTTAGGAGTTGCTGGACTGCAACGTCTCCAAGCTGCAGCGGCTTTGCTGTGAAATTCCTCCATGCTACGATAACCGTCATGCTTAATCTGCTGTTGATGTGCTTTGTAGTAAACAACAAGTAAGCTGAATTTATCAGCCATACATACATTGTCCAATCAAGCTTTACGAGTAAGGATCGGACCACTGTCCAATCCAAATATCAGATATCCCTAATTAGACATGAAGTTGTGTTACTTTAAATGCCCTCAGCCCTTTAGATACCTCTACACACTCTGATACACACATACCGCTGGTACATTTGAGTGACACAGCTCTGACAAAGTCACTCAAAGAAAATTAAGCAAAAACTGCTCCTAACAAAAGACAGCTTTCTAAATCACTGCAAGACAACACAGAAACATTGGACCTGCAGTCAGAACTGAACAAGACTGATGACAGCACAACAATAGGCTTTGTTAATATTCAGTCATGTGAAGTGTAGAAATGAGTCTGGAAAACCGAGTTACTCTCATTTTAATATTTGCTTCGTTCTCTAAGAAACCAGGCACAAAGCTTTCTTCCCCACCTGAAACACTGTCATGATTGCTGCAGCAAAAGTGTCAAAGTTAGTAGGAGGCGTTCCGTCGTCAAAGTTAAATCTAAGGAGAAGAAAGGAAAATGTACAGTAAGAAAATAGATGCTCAAATTTAATACTGGCAGTTGAGCTTCTTCTTAAGTTAGTGGTGATACTGACTGTCCTCCAAACAGCTGCATCCCCAACAAGGCAAATACCACGATGAAGAGGAAGAGGAGGAACAGCAAGCTGACGATGGACTTCATGGAGTTCAGCAGAGAAACCACCAGGTTTCGAAGTGGTGCCCAGTACCTGAGGAAAAGGAGGACGTGTGCAAGAAGAAGGACACATGATGAGGATAAATGAGACAACAAAAAAAGTAAGCAATAGAAGAAAAGAGAGAGGAGGAAGGAAAGAGGGCAGCGATAAAGAAGAGGATCGAAACCATTTACGTAAACTCTGAACAGGTACATGTTTTTAAGCCAAATTCAGCCTTTATTTTGTTAATTTGAAATTTTAACATGAAATTGTGTCTGAGCTGTTTTGCTCCTTTTCATGCATACCCTCCTGTTTTTACCACCTCTGAGCTTCTCCAGTAACCAACAGGTGTCCCAAATAGAATGACGTGCACTAGTAAAAACATCCAACTCTCTTTCATTACATGTACCATAAGCTCAGCCTCTTATCATGTGCTTCATTATCATCATCGTCTCATTTGTGTACTGATGGAAGAGCATGCAAGTCTAAGAGAAGTCAGAGGAAGAGCGAGAGACACTTACTTTGTGACTTTAAAGATGCGGAGCAATCGCAGAGCTCGTAACACGCTGATCCCGAAGGACGTGCCTGGTTTTATGGTGGCCCACACAACCTCGAAGATACTGCCGACTATTACCTGCACGCACACACAATTCAATACAGTCAGAACGCTGAGTTCAATCAGCAGCTATTAGAAGTTTAAGCTTGTATTTATTTATCAAAAAGAAATCTCTGAAGCCCCGAAAACAGAATTTTTCCTCTGCCAAGGCACAAGAACCCTTGTTTATACCATAGACATTATTAGTTATGCTTAGTTATCCAAGAAGCCGAGGTAAATGCATATTTTTCTTTATTATTATTTTACTTTGAATTGTCGGGTCCTTTCCAGGGGACCACCGGCTTTGTCAGTAAACATTACTTATATAAAGAAGAAGTCATAAGAAGAAGATTAGTCTAGTATTAGACTGAAGCTAAAAAGGAGTCATAGGTTATAACTTTAAAAGAAATTTGACCAGGCACATTTTGGACTTTTAGTTTTTGAATGATCACAAAACAGAGAAAACACCCATGTTTACTAATACCTATCACTAAACATTTAATCCTGAGATGGCTTAATTTAAAACAAAAAACTGGAATTTAAATGGAAATGTTTCTGTGTTGGAGTTAGAGTCTTTGCTTCTGATCACATTTGCTGAGGAATTAATAAACTGATAAGAAAAAACCCCAATAAAAACAAAACTTACTACAGAAGCAGACCACCACACTAATAAATTCAGTGAGAGATTAAATGCAGTGTTGGATTTTATAATCAGTACTTTTTTTTTTTTGCACTTAGTTTCAGTGTGTGAGTTTGTGCACTCACCACACAGTCGAAGCAGTTGAATGAGGAATGGAAGTAGGGCTGGATGCCCAGACCGTACATCTTGATCAGCATCTCAGACATGAACAAACCGAGGAAGACAAACTCTGCATAGACTGGAGAGAGAACAAAGGAGAAAAGAATGATTTGGGGCACGAATGAAGCAAAGAGAAGGGATTTTGTTAGAAACAGAAGGCGAGGAATGTGAGTTAGAACAAGAGGGCGACGTAAGGATGTGGAGAAAGGAAGGCGAAAACGAAAGAAAGTGAGGCCACGGAGAGAAAAACCAAATGAGATAAAAAGACAAAAATCAAAATCAGGTAAAAAGAAGGTAGTAGTGAAAACCAGATGGGAGCATGACAGAGTGAGAGAAAGACTCAGTTGAGTGAATGATAATAGAGGTGCGAGCCACTAGCAAGTGTTGTATGAGATTGTGGTGATGAAGGGACTTCATCAGCAACGACAACTTTGTATGCTAATGCAGCTGAACACCAGCCAGGGACAACAAGCTGACTCCATCACGGCCTGTGTGTACACATGTATAAGTAAGTATTTATGTGTGTGGTCACATCAGCAGCAGCAAGCCAGCAACTAAAACTAAAGAGTTACACAACGTGTGTCAAGTGGAACTCAGCAAACAAAACTCTTCCGAGCATGATAGTGCAGATCAAGGATACGTGTAACTACAGAATGGGGATAACGCTTGAGAAATAGAGAACACACTCTGTTTCTGCTGTTTGGTGTAGTTAAATTTGTAAAGGCTTGTTTGCATGTGTAGGAGGAAACGGCAGATCTGAAGTGTAAAAAAGATGACTCAGGTTGGGACGAGGTGAGAGTGGGCAGCGGTGGAGATTAAACTGGAAACAGTGAAGCACATCACACGTAGTGTCAGATGTTTGCCTTAGTGTTGCATTTTGCATCCTGTACTCTTATTTGCATGTAGTCCACCAACGGTCCCTGCACATGGTGTACTGTTAATGCACATCAGTGCCAAACAGACATTCCTGTGACCCAAATAAAACATGCAGCATTAGTATATAAAGTAGTGTATAAATACTGAAGTAATCACTAGTTTTAATTTCTCCTGTTTTTAATCGTAATAATTATTAATCATTAGCATTTAAAGAGCTGGGGTAGTATTTTCTTTTTAAGTTACATGACTCACAGCATAAAGGCAAGAGTACATTCTATATTGAGTAAATGTTTTGAGCCACCTTTTGTTTGTATTTTACTAGGGAAATGGGAAATATGTGCAGTAATTTATTGAAGCATGAAGCATATGCAAACATAAACCTGGGTATATAAACCAAAAACAGACGAGCTTGAAAGTCAACACCCGACCTCCTCTGAACATACTGATCGTGATTTCAGCTAAAGAGTTTGATTCATCACTCTCTGAGAACTGTTGGCCCTGATATTCAATCCAGTTCTTGTGTAATTAGGTTTACCTAATTATTATTATTCAGTTCCAATGTACAGTGTTTTGCGTCAGCTGTGGTTGTTTTAAAGTGCTTTATAAATAAAGACGACAACGATGATGATACCTGAGCCTTCTCTTCCCGTTTCTCTTCCTTAAGAATGGCGTCTTGATGGACAGCCTTCCACTGAGACCATTTCTGATTACGCTTCCTCAAACAATGGATGGATCAACTTAAGGGCATTTCTTAGGTCCTGTGTCAAGTCTTTGCTGGACTTTTGCCACAACTTTCAGATACTATTCATTTACCATAGATGAGTTTTTTTTTTACTTCAAGTATTTCTACTTTCATCCGATTTCCTCAAATTTTTCAAGGACACTGCACACAATGCCGAGATACCCCAAGTTGTAAAATAATAGCTCATTGGGAATCACCTTGTTGGTACAAAAATACTATTTTATGTACAAAAATACTACTTTAAGCCAGTTAAACTTTGTTATCTTTGACATTTTTTCATATATTAAAGAAATGGGAACAAATTATGTATTTTTGTGACAGGCTGCTAGTAAAAACGTGCTTTCAGATACAATTTAAAATTAGCTCTTTGCTAAGGCATGTGTTATTTGAAACACATACCTTATGTTTATTTGACTTAGGTGCTCAACAAACAGAAAAACATGAAAATGATCACTTAAAAAACACTAGACTGAAAACAAAGAGAAAAAGCAGCCAATGTCCAAAGAAAAACATTGAATTATTTCTCAAGAGCACTTTAAAAATAATCAGAAAATCTGGCTCTAGCAAAATATAA